CAGGACTATGATATGAAGAGTGTGCAAAGTAACATATTTTGGCAACAGTACGAAAGTGAATCGCACATAACAGGCACAATACCGGTATAAACACGAACATCTATGGGTACAATATGCGTCACATGACTAAACTTACATCATCGTTTTTAAATACCTCCGGTTTCACAGTCCACCGTTTTCAAATGTATCCACTTTGGAGAGTGTTTTCAAAAAGCTTCATTTTCATTAATAAAAACACCGTCTCAGTGTGGACGGAAGGCCAAAACGGAGAGAAAAGGTTATTAGACACAACTTTGATAAAGATGTAAAGGAAAAATATTTGTATTAATAAACTTATTTATTCTTCTACCGAAATTTTTCTTACTCAAATGTAAATTCCAGGCTGCTAAGCCCTACTTTTTTATTTTTTGTAAGGAACTTAAATGCTACCGACACTCTCCTTACATCCAGCAACTTAAAACTGTCTCACTGTGTGATATTTTCCTGATTCTGTAACCTGTAATTGTATTTACCCCTGGCATTGATTATGTACTGTATGTTCTTAGCAATAAAGAAAAAAAAAAGTTCACCAGGGCCGGATTTATCCCATATTGGGGCTTAGGCTAAATACATTTTTGGGACGTATCTCTATATATCTGACATCTCTCTCTCTCTCTCTCTCTCTCTCTCTCTCTCTCTCTCTCTCTATATATATATATATATATATATATATATAATATCTGACCCTGATCAATGTAATTTTCTTTTTTTTTTTTTTTTTTTTTTTTTTTTTATTAACCCGTATTTATTTCCTATGGAATTTTGGCTCAACACAGTATTTTAGGATACATTTTTGTCAAGAATACATTTTTGTCTTTTCTTTTTTTTGCCTCAGACACAATGTCTGAATACACATCTCCCTGCTATATAAAGTAATATGTGAAAGTATATACCTATATTATATACTATAAGTATATAGCTCCTTCTGCCATGATTCTGAAGCTTACATCCAGTTTACTATCATTTTGACACCCTTCATGCATTCCAGTAGGTTTTTTTTTTGGTTTATGCATTCTTCAGAAACAATATGACCGAGCTCACGTTTTAATGTGAAACGCACACTGGAATGAATAATTCATTGAAAACACAACATGCAGTCTGCACTATCTCGGCCATCTCTGATGTAATAAGCCTGGTCTTCTTTGCATTAATGCTGTTTTGGACTGATCATTTGAATTAATTCGCTTACTCGATCATTAGACGGAAAACATTCCTGAAATATAGCAGCTTAAAAATGATCTGATCACAAACAGAAGCGAAATCGGGTTAAAGGGTTAGAATAGAAATGTCCGTGTACCAGAGTTACAGGTAAACTAACCCTGACACATGAGCTTCTCTGGAGCAGATAGTGTTCAGAGAATAAGCTAGTATGGCTACTTGCATATAGTTACCTCCATTTTTGTAACAAAGTCGAGGTTATCTACGTATCTGTAAAGGTATGTCGCCTGCTTTCTGGAAAACCTGTCAGGCTGACTATATATACACTGAGAGTATATTGTTGTCAGGTGTGGGGGTGTTGAAAGAAGCGAGGACTCAAGTGCAGAGTTGATGGGCTTTTTAATAATAAAAATAAAACAAAATACAACAAAAACTACCCAGAGGGGGAAAACAAGACTGACTTAAACGACTTGACTGAAGCACACAGCAGGGAAACACACAGTGTACATATTCTTTGTTATATTTTATGGCGGGCGGCAACCCAGCACAGGACTGCAAACCCAGTGAGAATAAATAGACAGAGCAAATAAAGGAGGTGAGGGAGGACAGGTGGGGCAAATTAATCAATAATCAGGTAACAGGATGGGAAGGGCTGGACAATGACATGAAAGCACATGAAACGAGGCACACAGACAAGACAAAACAGGAGTGTCACAAAACCAAGAAATAGACTAGACAGAAGTGACAGAACCCTAATTGTAATATATTCAGTGCAAATAAAATCTATTGCTACTTGCACTTAGTATAAATAGAATATAGTTGCTATTTACATTAAGTGCAAGTAGCAATAGATTCTATTTACACACTCTGGGTTTTCTCAGTTGATTTGGTTTCCGTTACAAAAAAAAAAATATGCCTGCTACTTTTACCCAATGCAGCCATGATGTGAAGCAGTATTTATTTTCTCATCGGATTATCGTTTATAGTCAATTATTCCAATTGATGTTGTAGGTTTTTGTCCTTAAACGCTCTTGTGTGTAGGATTAATTTCTCATGCATCTCATCCCATGCCTCCATTGCTAATTACAAAACGTCATTTTAGAGCTAGTAACAGAGGCTTGAGACATTTATAGCAGACTAATGCAGTTATCAGAGAGAGAGAGAGAGAGAGAGATTAAGCGTGTGTGAATTACCTGAGTCTGTGCCTCAGTCAGCAGCATCTCTACTAATAGTGAAACTAAGTTTATCTGCTTCAAGAACAACGCCATTATTGCCTCGCTAGACAGAAATGTCATGTCACTTTTAAGTTGCTAAAATATTTTACTGATAAAAATCATCAGTTCGCAGTGCAATTTCTCATGCAGCTCCGCCCTAGAGCGTGAAGCGTCTTCAGAGAAACACTTGACCAAAGAAAAACGAAGCCTCACTTTCTTTCCAGTCACGTGAATGCTTCACTTTGCGTGTCAGAACATTTGAACTCAGATCGCTTTACTTTTATGGTTTATGGAAGGTCAAGGCTCACTATTGGCCGACGCTGGTCATGTGTGTGATGCGTGTGACGTACAACACAGAAGCGCTGCGCTGTTACACTACGCAAAATCTCGAGGCCCACAGAGAAGGAAATGAATAGTTGAATAAAGTCGTTATTTTTGTTTGTTTTTTGCGCACAAAAAGTATTCTCGTCGCTTGATAAACTTAAGGTTGAGCCACTGTAGTCACTCGGACTATTTTAACGATGTCTTTAATAACTTTTGGGCCGGCAAGTTTCGATCCCTTAAGAAGCCTATGGAGGAGTGATTCAGCTCTCAGATTTAATCAAAAATATCTTAATTTGTGTCCCGAAGATGAACGAAAGTCTTACGGGGTTGGAACAACATGAAGGAGAGTAATTACTGACAGAGTTTTCAATTTTGGGTGAACTATCCCTTTAAGATGCCTGGTTTATCCATCCCTGATTTATTGGCATAAATGAGATCGCAGCAGTTCACCATAACTGGTGAAGATCGCTGGCTGAGGTGTGCTGGAGACTAAACTGGTCTGAGGAGTTTTGGTAGAGCTGAGTGAGTGACAGGATGACGGCGATGAAGCGAAAGAACCAGAGTTTAAATGAGTTGATTTAGCCTAAAACAGATCAACTCAACAAAATCACTGACACAAAAAGCATTCCTGACAACACGTTTCGTTTGTGTGTGCGTGTTTGAGTGGAGAATTTGCTGTAAGCAATTAAACTAATGCACACCTGAGGTGGGAATGCGGCCATGATGTAAAGCATTATTTATTTCCTGACAGCCTAATTCAGTTGTCTGTCAGGAACATTGTCAGACTGTCGTTTATTGTCATAGTCAATTTTTCACACCTGAAGTAGGTTTTTGTTCTTAAACGCTCTTATGTGTAGGACTCACTTCTAATGCATCTCATATAATGCGATTCCCCCCTGCTGTAAGGACCTTTGAAATGACTGAAATCTCTACTTTAGCTGTGCGTTTCCCTGAAAATAATTGCACACCTTAGGACGTTCATAAACCAATCAGATTCGAGCATTCGACAGCCGCGTAGAAGCATAAGTGATTTTAAACAAGGAAGATATGAGACACTGATAGTTGTAAATGTCTGATATGAACATCATTTTGAGAAGTTAGAAAACAAAGGTTGTTTATCGGCATCGAAAACAAAGGTTATGTATCGGCATATGGTTCCATGAAGAACCTTTAACATCAAAGGAACCTTTTCAACCTAAAAAAATATATATTTTAATTTTTTTAATGTTTTTTTAATGGTTCTCCAACTTCTCCTACAACATCATCGCTGCTGAAACCCCCTTTTGAAACTTTTATTTTTAAGAATATAGTAGATTTCATAACCATAAAATCAATTATATATGTGTGTAAATTTGTTGCTCTAGCATTAAATGGGACTTTAACTTATTATCAAAGAGTTGAAACACCAATGAAGAGTCCCTTTAAAATATGTTCTAGTTTCTGTGGCATTTATTTACTTATTTACATGCATTTCTGACTTTACAACAAAATGAACACAATATAAACTAGAATATAAACAGAGTGCAGCTATTGAAAGCTTTATTAAATCTATCACTCTCTTTCAAAACCATAGCAATTTTGTTTAACAAATATCTTAGCCCATATGGCCTCTTCTTTGCATATGGATTTAGATTTTTTTGCTTACCTGCGTATCTCAAATGCATCATTGGCCAAAAATATAAACGATCAACTTGAATCACAATGCTTTTGAGAAACGCAAAACAGGCCCTCGATCCTAAAAATAAGATTCCAGGAATGATGAGCTATCATTTATGACAAAATATTGACAAAATGTCTTTTACTAAAACGGACATTATAGTTCTGATCACATCCCTTAAAAGTTATTATAAACAAATACATGTAACAGCACAGCAACAACAACAAAATACCAAAAAATGTTTACCTCATCAAGTTATTTACATTCCTTTTTAGTCGTTTATAATCCAATTTAATTCATCTTCGTCTTAAATCACTATTTGGCTGTTCCTCATCTTAGATCTGAACCCAGGTTTTGTGTTTTTGGTGTTTCATTCATGACAAATGACAACATTTCTCACAATATCAAAGTTTATTCCCTATAAATATGACAAGAACTCAGAGTTACCAAATCACTTGATATTTCACTGGTTTTGTCCGTCCTTCTGCTAGACTTCCTCACACATGAATTATGTTGAATATCTGTCAGCTGTAAAATGTAACTACACAATTAGATAATACTTATTAGTATTAGAATTAGCCCTCTGTGGCATGACTTTTTATTTTTTGGGGGAAAAAACCTTATACCCAATTATTTGGGAGCTTGATAATATATCCATCATAAAAATTGTATACGTTTTACTGGTATGAGGAATCTTTGGGTATAATATGTCACAGTTTGCTTTATTTTGCTATCCTCACTTACATAAATGAACTATTGAGTCCTGCACGCACTAGTAAAAAAAATATATATAAAAAATATATCTGGTGTCTGAATACTTTTTGGTTTGCCTGTAAGTCATGTGACCAGTACACAAATTGTTGTTAGCAATACGGACCAGGTGTCTGTAAGTCCCTCCAAAAGTTGACCTGGTTTGTCAAGCTTTGTGTCGTTGTGGCGATGAGTTTCGAATAGCGACAGCGGTTATACTCCACTGGGAAGACGTTGAATAGGCTTCCATCGGGTGGATCGGTCAAATCGATTCCTAAATGATTCATGCACATGCCTATATACACATCCTCTATATAAACCGGTTTGACGAGTTGCGCTGCTTCAATAAGTTTCCCTGCCAAGTCCAGAGAAAACACATACCCTAAACCCAGAGCGTAGGGAGGATAGTGAAACGGGGAATAAACCGTTTTTGGGAGATACCATTTAGAATGGGGGTCTCTCAAAACCATTGCACTCCTGGCCACAAGTCCAGTCATATAGTTCTGCTTTGGTGCCGGCAGAAGCATATTCACTAATTTTTTCACATTGAGAAATATATCCGAGTCGATCTTCATCGCGTAGTGCGCATTCTGGCAATAAGCAGAAAGCCATTCTAGCATTACCACTGTCTTAATGGTAAGATTGTAGTAACTATCCCAGAAATCACTTTGTAAAAGGTCATAATGCTTCTCGCTTTCCTGCAACAAATCCTCTTGGAGCTTTTCGCTGTCTTGTGAAGTTGGCAAACCTATCAGAAATAGGAAACTTACTGTCTTGTCCGCCACTACCTTCTCCGTACCCCACGTTGAACGGATGGCGTCCCGAGCAGCCACGTTTCCTGGAGATACTGGTATTATTAACACCACGAAAGTATTTTCCTTCTGGCACTTCTCTGGCTCATTAATAACAAAGCTATATTTGTATGGGTAAGCCACATAATATGGATCTGGAGGTTTCCATGGTTCAGCAGAAATCCCTCTCGATACCGTAGTGGGCGATACGATCCCTCTCGATACCGTAGTGGGCGAAGCGATCCCTCTCGATACCGCATTGAGCGATTCGTTGGACGTCTTATTGTGTAATGTCTTTTGAAACAATAGTCCAACGGTTGCCTTCCAGGTTTCTGAGTTGTCATAGATGACGACGTAGTAGCACAGCGACATGATCAGCAAAATGGTGAATATAACATATGAATGATGATATCTGCATCCGCCATTTGATTGCACTTGACTGAAAAGAGAAAACGAGTCTTTTGGCATGTCTATGTAACGATGCATTCAAAATTTTGTTATCATTAATACACATTCCTGATGAGGTTTCCAGTAAAAGCATCAAAATAAAATAAAATGTTTTACAACAAGCTGGATAAAAACTTATTGATGACACTTTACAATATGTTTTCATTTGTTAACATTAAAATTTAACGTTACGTTACGTAATTTAACGTTAAAATTTTCATGATTTGTTGAAATGTTATCTTTTGTCAAATCAACTTAGATAATTAATGTGGTTCAGATAACACAATATTTTGAGTTACTATAATTAAACCAATCTCCTTTGTTGTATTAACTTTCAATGAACAAAAATTTTAAGGCAACCATGTAACTTACCTTTTTAAGTTAAACCAACAATACTTTTTTTATTTACAACTAACATGAACTAACAATGAGCAAAACATTTGTTACTGTATTTGTTCATCTTTGTTAGCTTTGTTAATTGTTACAGCTGTTCATTGTTTGTTCATGTTCAACTAATGTTAAAAAACACAATCTTTGATTTTAACAATTTATAAGAAAATGTTGAAACTAACATTATCCATGATTGATAAATGCTGTAGAAGTGCACTTCATTATTAGTTCATGCTAACCAATGAAACCTTATATAGTAAAGTGTTACCAACTAATTGTTCTCATCTAAATCCAAATGGCACTTCTATTTTGCACATTGAATCATTAACAGTACATTTGCTACAATACGGATTATAACTGAAAGTATTTTATGCTTTCACAATTTCAATACACAAATTAAAACAGAAGAGAACTATTAAACACATCAGTATAATAATGTACTTTACCGTCGTTCTTCGTTGACTTCCACCATGTTTCTGCTGTTTACAGAAACAATGAATCTGTTATTTCAGATGCATTTTCCAGCTCTGCTATTCCACGACAAACCGGCTTGGCGAGTGAGTGTCAAGTATGTTTAGTAAAACCTTTTTCTTTGTTTTGCATATCCAGTTCCACCCCTTTGCCACATCACAGACAATAAGCGACCATTGACCATTCTGATATGACAGAAGCAAAAAAGCTTGAACATTAGTAAATATATATATATATATATATATATATATATATATATGTAAACATAGGTGTGTCTTTTGAATCCCATAGTAGCAGGCCATTGTGTGCTTTACATAAACACAACCATAGTACAATGACTGGGATTTATTTATTTATTTAAATTACTCTGCTTTCAAAATCAAATCTCTTAGCATGACTTCAATTAATCCAATATCTTTAATTACTAACTTGGCCAGTTTATAAGTCAGTGAATGGCTTCATGTTATTCAGATGTTTATCTTAGTTAATGTTACGGTGGATGATTTTCGGGGTTTTGTTTCCCCTGTGTTCCTGTTTTACCTGCCTAAATTTAGTCAGTTTCCTTGACTGTTAATCAGTCCTTATCTAACATGTCCGGTCAGTTTGATTCCTGTTGTTAGCTAGTTGTTTGCTAGTTTTAAATACTTCATGCCAGCATGACGAAGCTAAATGTATTTACTACTGTATCAACACTATATAGAGACAAAATTGTGCCAAAATTCTGAAATCTTTGGTAGATATCACTGAACATTTATTTAACCATAGCAAAAGTAATTTTAAGTTATTTTTTCATCTCTGTTTTTTTGTGTTTATTTAAAATTAGATGAATCTGCTATTATTTAAATCTTATATCTGTTATTTAACAGTTGAGGTCATTCTTTAAAGGGGTGATGAACTGAGAATTCAAATTTTCCTTGAGCTTTTGACATCTAAGAGGTCATCAAATTATAAGAATATCCTGTAAGTTTCAGAACTGAAAACGTCCTTGTTAGTCCAATAAAAGCTTTTATTGACACCAGGCTCAGCAAACGACTCGTTCCCATTCAGTCGGTCAACTCGGTACAACACATTACTATGGGATATCACGCTCTAGCGCCATCTGCTGAAGACACCTTTATTCACGCCTGAAAGGCCAATGACGCATGACGACGTGGGCGGGGCTACCTGCCCACAGCATATAAATGCATTCGTATGCATCATTCCCTTTGTTCTTCAGCTCTTCCCCGTGCTGTTGGAACACCAACACGCCACATTTTGGCAGGAATAAAAGCCCACAGTGGTGATTCTTGTCGAAACTAAGGCAGAAAGAGAAAACTTCTAGCACAAGTTCAGCTTTGCTGGCAAATGGCTCATATGTTCCCTTTCGAGAGGACTCGCGATGCGTCATCGACGCTTTGGGAACGCCCCCAGCGTGAATGCATCTGAGCATCAATGTCAACTAGTCCAATGGAAAGAATGAGCGTCACGGGCGGGTGACGTCATGACCAGGAAGGCATAAGAGCACATCCGGTGAAACGCGGTATTAGCTTCTGTGTCTCAGCAAGCGATCTGTGTTACTCTGTCTCTGTCTATTTATTGTTGTCTGTTCGATATTATTGGGAAGAGTTATGGCGAAACAACTTTACAAACTCTGTGCTTCTCCCTGCCCGCGTTATTTAACGGGTGGGGACACACACGAGCTTTGTGTAGTTTGTTTGGGAGTGGAGCATGCGGTATCAGCCTCCGAGGGGGCTGATTGCAACATTGTGAGAAGCTTTCGCTTCGCATGCTCCACTCCCGCCTGTCACTTTTCGAGGAAAGTGGCCAGGCTCGCGATCCTCAGGGTGCAGGACCCGCGTCTGCTGAGGCAGCGCGGAGAATGCATTCCTGTGGATCGCGAATAGGATCTCTTTACGGGGTTGGAGACGGGTCCGCGGATCTTATCTCCTCCCTTTCCACGAGGGATCCAGTGCTCTCTCTCCGGTCTCGGAAGCCCGCGCTGCGGTCTCTTCCGCCCGGGGAGAGAAATCAATGCTTCAGTGCTCTACCTCCGAGGAGGTAGATGTGCTGGGCATTGAAAGTGTACACAATCATGGGGGAAGTGGATTTGCCATCTCTTTCCCCAGCGTATGAGAAATATATAAGCCTTATATATATATATATATATATATATGATAGTTTATATATTATATATAAAAAATATATATATAAAAATAAGCTGGTGGAGGTGTTTAGTAAGGCTGTAGATAAATTAAATATTTAATGGCCAGCAGAAATAAGGGGGCACTCGTTCTAAAAAATAAAACGAGTTTCCTTCCCTCTATTTGTTCACCTCCATCACGGGGCCTTCCATTTTTCCCGATCTGCACAGCGGGCTGTCTAGATCATGGAAAAAGCCTTACTCTTCTTGTTTTTTAGCCCCCACATTCATGTATATTCAGATATTAGGGGGTTAAGAGAGTATGGCTATGGGGCAATACCCCGGTTAGAACAGACGCTTGCGAGCTATCTGTCTCCCGGTTCAGTATCGACAATGAAAGGCGTCGGCTTCTCTCACTAAACCATTAAAGAAAACTATTTTTAATCTAGTGGGAAAAGCATTTACGGCAGTGGGTCTAGCAGGAGCCTGCTTGCACACTATAGCAGTGCTACAAGCATATCAGGCTGACCTGCTGTGGTATTTGGACAGAAGTGAGGGAGTTTGGCCCGATGGGGTTTGAGAACTTCGTCGGGCCACGGATTTATCTCTCAGGGATGGCAGCCCTTGTGGTCACTGAGAGACACCTCTGGCTCAATTTGATGGGAATCATGGAGAAAGATACAATATAATCTCTCCCTCGCTATGTCCAACCCCCTGGGGCTGCTGGGCGTGAGCAGCTCCAGCCGTCTAGTTTCTCATACACAACACAGCAGCCAAAGCCTTCAAAGCAGAAGCCGGATCCGAGGACCGTTCTTCATGCTGAGAAAGCTTCGGCTCGAAGGAAAAGGTCTGGCGCCACCGGCGTCAGACCGGTGAGGGCAGCCCCAATCGGGGTGGAATGGTGTACACCTCATTATACGGTGCCCTTTCCATCTCGGTGCCCTCAGGGGATCGTTCTGCCAACCCGCCACCCTTGGTGCTCGGGGCGCAGCGGTCTCCAAGCGAGCTTCTGGCGCAGCGTCAACTCGACGTTGCGTCGGACTCGCGCCCTCTGAGGGGGGTTCAAAAACAGTCAGTTCGGGTGGTTCCTGCCAGTATGCTTCAGGTCCCCGAGCTGGCTGTCTTTATTACATCAGAGGCCAGCCTCGAGGGGCTGGTTCCCTTGGTAGATTTTCTGGCAGCGCATTAGCTACTGCCAAATATATCTCTATGGGTCCTGCAGTTAGTAGTAAGAGGCAGATTTGGTTCTCGTCCTCCAGGCTACAACGGGGTGTTGCTCACGTTAGTGCATTCCGAGCAGGCTCTGGTAATGGAGCAAGAGGTAAAGGCCCTGTTAGCAAAAAAAGCTATAGAGCAGGTGTACTCACCCGACATTGCGTCGGGTCTTTACAGTCGTTATCTCATTTCTCCAAAAAAGGATGGAGAGCTGCGTCACTTACTAGATCTTCGTCTGTTGGAGTGTTTGGTGCTGGAACTCAAGTCCAAGATGCTGACACTCAAACAGATCGTGACTCAAATCAGATCGGAGGACTGGTTTGTCACGATAGATCTAAAAGACGTATACTTCCATATCTCCATCCTCCCTCAGCACAGGAGGTTCCTGAGGTTTTCTTTGGGGCAAAGAACACCAGTATCAGGCACTTCCTTTCGGTCTAGCTCTATCACCCCGCACATTCACGAAGTGTGTAGACGCAGCTCTGGCCCTGCCAGGCTGCAATGTATACGCATTCTGAATTGCATAGATGACTGGCTGATTCTAGCGGAATCAGAACAGTTAGCGGTTCGGCACCGAGGTGTCGTTCTCGCTCATATGCAGATGTTGGGGTTGAGGCTCAATGCCAAGAAGAGTGTGCTTTCTCCAGTACAGAGAACCACTTTCCTTGGTGTGGTATGGGATTCAGTGACGATGCGGGCCACTCTGTCGCCCGTTCGTGTAGCTGCTATCCTAACAGCCACAAAAGAGCTGAGGCTAGGCCAGTCACGCACTGTAAAACAGTTCGAGAGACTGTTGGGTCTTGTGGCAGTAGCGTCCAACGGGATACCTTTTGGCCTGCTGTACATGAGACCTTTGCAGTGGTGGCTCAGGACCAGAGGGTTCTCCCCGAGGGGAAACCCACTTCGTATGATCAAGATCACGCGGCGGTGCCTTCGTGCCTTGGTTATATGGAGGAAACACTGGTTCTTAACCCAGGGTCCGGTGTTGGGAGCTCTTTGCCATCGAGTTGCTATCTCGACAGATGCTTCCCTCACCGGCTGGGGAGCGGTATTGGAAGGCCGCTCAGCTCAGGGCTTGGGAGGAGTCATCATCTCGCTTGGCACATGAATTGCCTAGAGATGATGGTCGTCTTCAATGCGTTGAGACATCTCCTCCCAGACCTGAGGGGCCATCATGTGTTGTTCTGAAACAGTGACTGTTAGGCCTCAGGGCAGCAGCGTTCAATGTGATACCCTTTGACCTGCTGTACGTGAGACCTTTACAGTGGTGGCTCAGGACCAGAGGGTTCTCCCTGAGGGGAAACCCACTCCGTACGATCAAGATCACGCGGCAGTATCCCCGCGCCTTGGTTATATGGAGAAAACTCTGGTTCTTGACCCACAGACAACACGTTGGTGGCCTATTATTTTGGTCCCTCAGGAAATTACGCTGTCTGAGGGCAGTGTATATTCCAGGGGGGCCAGAATATTGGAGCAGACACCCTGTCGAGGCAGGGGCTGAGGCCAGGGGACTCCACCCCGAGGCGGTGGAGCAAATATGGGAGTTTTATGGCCAGGCAGAAGTGGATTTGTTCTCGTCTCAGCATATGACGCACTGTCCACTCTGGTTATCCCTCACTCAACCAGTCCCCTCGGGGCTGGTTGCTATGGTGCAGACGTGGCTGAGGCTACGTCTGTACGCATTTCCCCCTGTTGCTCTGCTCCCAGGAGTTCTGGAGTGATTCCGCCAGGATGGAATA